CTCAGGTACTGCTTGAAGACTTCTCTACGTTCCCCTATTTCTTCTTTCAGCTCGTCATCCCACCACTTAACCGATACCCCACATCGTACTACCTTCCTTCCCACTACTCCCTCTGCCGTTGCGTTCACGATGGACTCCCACCCTTCAATCGCCCTGTCCCCGACGCTTCTCAGCAGTTTTCTGAAGGATTCTACACTACCAGCCAGTCCCTTCTGGAATTCATCCCGTGTCCCCTCGTCTCCCAAACGCTCTACTTTCCACCGGAACACTTTCCTCTGTTTCTTACTCTCCATCGTTCTTGATCGGTCGATGTTTGCCCATATGAGGAAGTGGTCGGTCGAACCTATGTATATATATCTATGTTGCGGCAGGGGGGCTGTTTTGCATGGATATTTGCTTATATTTCTATCGTCTCTTGGACAACAGCTGAGGCACCGATAGCATGTACGCGCTGTTTAGGATTTGGTCTTTGGACGCTACATTGGAGGAAGGGTTTGACATGTTTTGACGAGTAATGGTTGGGGCCTTTGAGCTTGCCGAATGCTTGTTTTAATTGGTCAAGAAGTTGAAACTTTGTGTTGTTTGAAGATGTGTCAACTCTTTTGAAGCTGTTTTTCCAGATTTGTCCGTCACCGGTCTGACGCTTGTCTGATATACCGCAGATATTTGTTGGGTGCTCTTCTGAGGATGATTCTTTTATTTTGACGGTTTGAGAATACATTGGGTTCATGGATAAAATGATGGAGACGCGTTGCGTTAAATGCGTAACCAGTTTGTAGAGGATGTTTCTCGAGTGGTTATTTGTGTTTTTGTATTGGTTGGAAGATTATCCACCTTGGACTTAGTTATAGGTACCCTTGTCACCCCCCGGGGCCAATGCGCCTCTACTTCCCGGGTACCCGGGTACCCGCCGGTTCCGCCCTCGAAGACCCCACCGGGTACCCGGTTCCAGTTTTCCCAGCCGGGTGACAACACTACACACAAAGCCATTACAGCAGTCATTGCTGGTTTGTCCTGGACTAGGCGAATTCATCACCCGTGGACAAAGCGACCAACGCGAAAGGGAAAGGAAGCGCGGTACGGATGGAGGGCCCCTAGAGACGAGGTTTGGCGTAATTTACAGTCCATCACAACCGCTCTCGTCCAATGGGAGCCGCTCGTACACGTTTTCGCGAAGAACGGTTCGCCAGAGCTACCCAAAGCGCACATACATCATCGTCCCACGTGCACCACCGCAAATGAAGGGCAACCCCTTGTTGCGAGGTCCTCGCAGATGGGGCCGGTTGCACGCACGTACCCAGACGTGGCACCGCCTGGTGCTACTCGAGGGCATCGCTGCTGCGTCGATCGACCGTCGAGACCGTCCTCGACAAACAGATGCCGGCAAATGGGATTGCCTACGCAAAGAAAGCAAAAGGTGTACACGAAAAAAGAGCAGGGAAGGGGCACGCACACCGCAACCCTACCCCGAACCGCAACTTAGCTGATTCTGTATTATCCAGAATAGTTTCTTGCTTAGAAAAACCAACTGGACAACATGCAGCAGCGAGCACGGCAGCACCAAAAAGGCAACAGCAGCAGCAATAGCAACAAGTACCGGCCGGCCAGTGTAAAGGCCCTCACCTTCCCGACGGGAGCTGGTGGGAGGCCATGAGCATTCCGACCAACGATATTGCCTTCGAGGCCGGTAGGAGCGTCGCTTCGTCAGTGTCCTGGTCCTGCCCCCTGTCCGTTGCCCCCATAGACCGCCCTTGCGCCATATCCCACAGCTGGGCAGTAGGAGCATAATGCACGACGTATCAAAACAAGAACACATGAGAGTGAGTTCCGATCGAGGTTCCCGCTGTCGTTTGACATGCATCACATCAATATCTGTCAGGGGTTTCGACAATGTTTTCGCACCCGAGACACGAGGAGAGTACTTTACATCATGAAACCGGGCGTGGCAAAGCCGGGAAAACCATCGCCATAACTCCTACCCACCTGCCAAAAACTAAACCAAAAGCTTGCGGAGCACTCTATTGCTACTGGTGATGCCTTTGCCAGGATAAGGAACGGTGCTCGCAATAGACGGGTGGCCAACGACACGGGCAACAAACGAACGAGCACCCCCCCCCCCCCCCCC